CTGAACCTCTACAGAAGTCATCAAGACAAAATTCTTGAATCACCATGAAGAACCAGGAACAATAAATGAGCCCAAATTCTGGGTTAGAACTGAAATTCTTCAGAAATCTTTTTGTTTTCCCTTCCTTTTATCACAGATGCTGAACCACCTCTCTTTACCCAAGAGGGTCCCGATGACATCACATCCTCTCCAAAGAGCGACGCAGCCTCCTAAGTCAAGCGAGATCATCTCTGCTCCGCTGCACGCACCCACCCCAAGGACAACCACCCCTAGGAGAAGATGGCCGGCTCTCCTGCACTGCTCCTTCTCCTCGCTCTGGGGCTCTGTGAGTACGGACACAGCATTTGTGCATCACCATCCCCGGGAGGGGCAACCAAAACCCTTCCACGGGATCCAAGCAATTGGGCTAAATAGGTAAAGGGGACATAGAAAGCAAACCCAAAAGGCTGACTTTGAGGTTTGCTCAGTAATTGTGGGGCTAAAGGCGGCACCACCTCAGCCCGGGCAGGGCAGCCAGAGGGGTGGCTGCAGCATCATACGCACCGGGAAGGGAGCCCGGTCAGAGAAAAGGTTCTGGAGGGGAGAGGGGAGGGGGAAAAGAGGGTTGAGCAGTCAGTGGGTTTAGAGAGTCACTGCCAATAAGCTGGGAAGGGTACCATCCCGAGAAGGCAGCTGAAGAGCTTTTCTGAAGGGCAGCACCCATCTTTAAAGCCCGGCTGGCTGATTGCTGAGCACCCTCTGAGCACGATCCCAGCAAGGACTCCAATACAACCTTCAAGTCATCCAAGACAGCAGGGTCATCCTTTGCATTTCACCTCACACCCCAAGGACAGAGAACAAGGTTTGCCTGATGGGGACGTGGCTCTTCCCAAGTGGTTCCCACAAGGATTTCTCTCCCATAGGCTGCCCTGGCATCTGGGGCCAGAGGTACAAGATGACGGCCAGATTTCGTGACAGCAGCATCACACACCCCCAGCAGGGACAGCGGCTGGAGCTGCAGTGCCATTCCGACAAGGAGGACAGCGGCGTATCCTGGGTCCGCCAGGACAAGGATGGGACCCTTCACTTCATCGTCTTCATTTCCTCCCTGGGCCGGACCACCTTTGAGCGGAATGAGGGGACAGCCACACGCTTTGAGGCAAGAAAAGACAACAGCTTCTACCGGCTGGTAGTGAAGTCTTTCATGACACAGGATGAGGGGAACTATTTCTGCCTCATGAACAGCAACCAAATGCTGTACTTCAGCCCTGGCCAGCCTGCCTTCTTCCCAGGTCAGCAACACCTCTACTCAACCTTGCTTAGCTCTGCCAAAATACCCAGCACCCCCTCCCCATGCCTTTTTTAACCAGTTGCCTCTCCCATAAACCTCATTGCCCTGCTTGCTTGCCCAAGGCATCTTGTGACCACCGTACCTGCCCTCCTACCAGAGGCTCCCTGCTTGCTATTTCTTTGCATGGCA